GGATCGGATACGGAGTTCGCGAACGGACAGAATACAGAGAAATACGGAATAATGTGCTGTGGTTTTCTGAAAACGGGTCGCGTGCGGTCCGTATGCGGTTCCTATTTCAACCGCGCGCGAACGCTGAGCGTCCGTAACGGATTGTTCGCGAATCACCTGTGCAAGAAGTCGAAACTTTGTTTATACAGCTGATGACTATGATTTCAGTGAATTACTTTAGTATTATTATTCTGGTACGAAAAATTCGAAGCTTTGGAAATGAAATGCCGTTGGCCGAAGATCCCGCAAGGATACTACCGTAACCTGAAAATGTTTATATTTTTCGATTTTTCGATTTTTCTGCGTTTTTAGTCAATTTTCTAAACATGAAATTTATTTTTCGAATTGCTCGGTGAAAAATAACAAAACTCGACGAAAAGCAGTAAAAAGCGATAAAATTATTCCTGAAATTAAGCAGATTTTTTGGTTACAATAGTTTGTCGTTGTGAGATTTTTTCACCGGAATAACATCTAGTACGAAAAAAAGCAGGAAGTTAGTCAAGCTCTTGTCCTTTCCAATTTTGCACTTTCCAAATTTCGTGTCAGAATGAAAAATAAAAGCCTGCGTACATCTGAACCGACAAACTATAAAGTATGTCCTTCTTCTCTCTGTTATCTCTTTCGGGTAATGAATACAAGACGAGGGAGGTCGAGTAGTGGTTGCACCCTGGCACCGACTGATCGGTGTTGTTGCCGAGACCGTCCGTTTCGCTTTTTCCGCGCGGTCCTTCATTTTTCACCACGTGTATGTAGTTGTCTAACATCTTTCCATGCCAAAAAACAACGAATTTCATAGACATTGTGGCTCATCCCATTCGTCTCAAAGTTTATATTTTCCCAATTTTCACAAAAGTAACTTGAGACATTTCTATAGAAAAAAAGGAGAGTCATCAAAAAATGGAGTTTTGCAGTGTCAATCGAGAAAAAATCGAACTACTTCCGGCATTTTCGTTTTTCTTTTTGTTAATTTTTGTCGTTTCCATTTTCGTTTGGTAGATCTTCGTTGATTAATTTTTGATGAATTACCGTACAATTTGTAATAGGAGTGTTTCAAACTGTCAAGTTTGGGCTCAATTATCTCAATTCCTATACAAGATATCAAAAATTGGTCAACTAACAAAACAATTCTGGCATTATGATAAACAATTTATCAGTTGACAACTGTTTTTGTATCATTGACAGGAACTGAGAAAAAATGGCTCAAAGTTAAAAGTTAGGTCCTTCTATTACAGGTTTTACGGTACTTCTGGAAGAGATCGAAATGCATTGTGTTTCGTGCTGTCCCGATTTTAAAGTTCACCTTGTATCGAAGATTAGCAACCTTCATAAAATAATCAAATTCATTTAGGCCATTAAAACTTCTCAATAAGATAAATGAGCGCGAGTTTCATGAGTAGCTGCTCACCTCATAAAATATTCTGGAGAATCTGCTCTCTAGTCCTTCTCCAATGCTCCCTTTCCAATCTACAACCCCTAGTAATTTCTAAACTATCAGAACAAAGGGACGTCCCGACCCGTTCTTTTCTGATATAACTCAAAAAGTGTGCAAATAGTGACCCTGGCACGGCGTGCTCCTTCCACAAACCAATTGAGCTGCTACTGGTGTCCCTTTATTCTTTTGCAGTTAGTTTCTTCGTTCCCCAAGTTTCCCATTTTCCCAAACAACGGATCCACGCCCCATCTCATATACAGGGCCACAAAATCCAGTTTCAATTCGTAGCTGCTGACTGCTTCTTGCCCTCATTTTCCTCTTTTGCTACATGCTGTCCTCCTTGTTTCTATTTTGACTACTTTGTGTGAGGTCTGTCTCTAAGCGTCTGTTTCTCCGAATCTCTCGATTCGTTTTGAAGTCGTCACCATCGTACAGTGGACACTACTGTTGGCCATTCAAAAACTGGCCAAAGGCATTTTTCAATGAATGTACCGTGCAGAACTGTATTGGAGAGGAGAAGAATACATCTACGCTTCTGTAAACACAGCTTCTGCTTTTGTCAAATTTATGTTTACGCACCTTTTTTCTCTCTTCTCCCTAGACCACCTCCACAATTTCTATTTTGGGACTGTTTCCATCTCCATTTTTGGGCACACACTGTTTCAACATCCAAGCGATTTTATTGATTGAATTCTCCTCACGCTTATTGCTTCTCTTCTACTTCCTCGAAACATAAACTTTTATGACTTCTTTCCTTCTTCTTCCTCTTCCAGTCTTTTCGGTTGAGATATAACCAGATTCTGCCACGTCACAGGCATAAATTCTGTCATATATCTGATCAATCCATCCTGTTATCCTTGCATTCCTTCCGTGTTTCTTCATTTCATCATTCCTCCCTCTTATCGCATTAGATGAGAACCTTTCAGGTCATCATCATCGGAAGTTTATTGTCATTTTGAACTAGGCACTTCTAGAAGGTTTCATTTTTCACAGTTTGGTTCGTGACGAGCTTTTGAGATTAGCTTTAAAAGCTTGGCGTAATAAGGTTACCTCGAAATAGGCCCTCTTCTTAAAAGAAGAAAAAGAATGATAGAGAGAAGAGGAACAAGAAGAAGCACTCATAATTTCGTCCTCTTCGATGTTCATTGTATAATTCCTATTTTCCTCTCTTCATCCTCCTGCTTCTTTCTTTTGGTTATTCGCTGCGCAGATATCGAATTGGGACATGAAAGATGAAGGCGCGGAATGAATCGAGGAGAGCGCAGACGAACATGAGCGCATCATCCAAACAATGACCTAAATAAGATAGAGAGAAACAGAGACAAGAACATAGAGGACACGGTATTATATGTGTCCCTTTTCTCTCCTTCTGTTTAGCGCGCATACAGTCACCAAAGCATCTAAAAGTTTTGACGAGAAGAGAAAAACAGCGAGGGAATCCTTCTCCCGATACCACCTCCTGGAGAATTTGACGATTCTCGCCTCTCGCTCGGTCCGTCATCTTCGTCAACGTCGCCGAGGCCATCATCTCGCCCTCCCCTCGAAACGCCAGGTACCTGGTTGAATCGGGGGCAATACGAGAGTGTATTGAAAGTTTGGAGAGGATTGAGGTACGTACCAGCGTCTCTCTCTCGGTTGTACTTCTGTGTTCACACTAACACTGGCACAACGGTCTGGCGGCCATGGAAGCCCAGAATTTTGTCGAAAGTGCATTTATGTTTTTGGAGGTGGACAGTGGTTACAGGTTTTTTTCCTTTAATAAATTGTTGTTTCTCCCTACTACTGCCACCCGACGACCAATTCCAGTTCTCAAACAAAAAAAAAGATGTTTCTTTTTCCCTTTTTTGATCTTAACGTATAAATTATGTCAATAGGTCACACATTGAACCCTTTTCTTCTTTTCCCATATCTCTTCTCGTTCTACACTCATCTTTGATATATTAATGCGTTACACATTTCATCGAGACGTCCCGCCAGTTGCACAATGGAAGCTCTCAGCTGATATTGGCTTTCAACCAACTGTCTGGTCTTCTTCGTGTTCCACTTCTTAACAATTTGTTTGTAGTCGAAATCTTGTTTCCCTTGGAAGCGTTTCTTTTTTAATTACAATTTTCAAACTTCCAAGCAGAAATCAACCGGTATATTTTGTATTAGGTTGGCGGGAAAGTCTTTGTCACTCTGTTTGTTTAATCACTGTTCTCGTATATGGAGGCTGTGTATGATATCGACTCTAGTGAATAACAAGGTGATAAGAACCTTCCATATAAACAAGTCCCCATCTCCTTCCCTGCTCCTCATCTGTAATTGAAACGATATGTTTGTTCCCACTGCTATTCACATCAGACATGTTTTGATTTACCTCTTCCTATCTCACACCACGATGAAGGATTCGGAAACTTTCTTGAAGAATGTGTACAACACACATGCCCCTCACTACAATACTATTCGCAATTGGTTCCATCGTTTCGAAAAAGATGACTTCTCGCTCGATGAAAAGGATCGCTCTGGGAGACCCCGTGAGTTGGATTTGGACAAGCTGAAGCACGCATTGCAATCGGATCCATTTCAATCTAGCCGTGAACTAGCTGTCACATTCGGAGTTCACCATAGCACAGTCCTTGAAGGTTTGAAGTCTCTTGGAATGAGAAAACTTTTTGGTCGATTCATACCTCATCACCTGACTCAAGCCAACCTTGACCGCCGAGTCGACGATTCGATTACTCTTCTCACTCTCCACGCGGGCGATCGATGGCTGGACCGGCTAATAACCGGAGATGAGAAGTGGGTCTTCTACGATAATCACCACAGGAAATCCCAGTGGGTTGGAGAAGGAGAGAGCCCACAGGATGTCCCAAAACCCGACCTTCATCCGAAAAAAGTTATGCTCTCTGTGTGGTGGGGAGTGGACGGCCCCATCTACTGGGAACTTCTGCCCGAGGGCAAAACAATAACTGGAGACCTCTACACTACTCAACTACGAAACCTCAAGAAAGCAGTCGACCGTTCGGCCCTGAAAGACAAGAAAGTGTACTATCAACATGATAACGCTCGCCCACATGTTTCGAAACAAGTGAAGCAGGAGCTGATGGGATATGGATGGAATGTTCTCCCTCACCCCCCGTATTCTCCTGATCTTGCTCCTTCCGACTATTGGTTATTTGGCGATATGACACGTGCCTTCGAAGGAAGAAGCTCAATTCCCGTGGAGCGGTCGAAGCGGCACTCAAACAATACGTTGCCTCACGCCCGGCTGGATTCTACCGCAATGGAATCCATAAATTGAGGGAACGTTGGAGACATGTTGTTGATAATGATGGACAATATAATTAATTATTCGGTTATTTTTTCTTTGAGAAATAAACTATTGAAAAAGTGACAAAGACTTTCCCGCCAACCTAATAGTTGTGGTGGTTGTGGCATTTCCAGAGAATATCAATCTTCATTTTAGTTCCTTTACGTGGAAGTTTGTGAAGATGTTGTCGTCTCCATGAAACCTTTCAAAACCAGTCTACATTTGTGAAGAATGGGGACTGTAATGATCCATGAATTGTTCTCCAATGACCACGTGATCAGTTAGAATATCAGTTGATCGATGTTTGAGCTTCTCCTAGAATTGTTTTTTCCCTTCCCTTTATTGGTGTCGCAGCAAAATTTCAAGTTTCTTCTCCTCCAATAATTTTCCACTTTTTCTAGATGACACACTTCGCATACATTCTTATTCTTCTTCCACTCCTTTCTTTGTATAGTTTACGATCCCGAATTGTGTCTCTAAATTCGAAACTCGTATCATTTTTCTTTTTTTCTTGCGAGAAAGCTCGTTGGGTTTTTGGTTTTGAATCTGTTGTTTTTTTTGAACACAACAAAGAGTAAAAACGGGGAAATGGAGAGCAATTTTGAAAAGAGAATGTGGCTCTTTCTCTTTCTTTTCCCATTTTCCCATGCTAATCTTCTTTTCTTTTCATTTTTCATGAATTTCATATTTTCTAAGAAAGCAGCTTGACGACTACATTGACTTCATATTTTGAGCCAAGGATGTTCGGAATGACATTTTCTAAACTTTTTGGAATCTCCAAAATTCCGGTTTTTAAAATTTCTGAATTTCGGAATCCCACTTTCCGATCACAAAAATTGACAAGCAGATTTCGACAACGCAAAAAATTTCTTTAAAAATTCGGAAATGTTCCGGTCGGAATTTCATTTCGAAAAAAAAAATATTCCAACCGAAATTCTCGGAAATTCGTACTCCGAAAATCCTGGTCTAATTACTTTTGAACGCTATGGAAACCGCCAAAATCCTAGTTTCATTGAAATAATGAGTCATTTCAAAATGGGAAAGCACCAAAGCAGTATAACTACATTTCGAGTGAATTCTATATCATTTGCATTCATATTCAATGCTTCTGTTTCTTCTTCGTCATTTTCAAAGTTTATGCAATTCAGGAACTTCTTGCTTTTTCTCCATTTCTAATTTGCTTCCTCATGCCTGTTTACTGAAAAAAGAAAACAAAAAACTAGGCACAATAGTTTGTGGGAGTGGGGTGATCACTTCCGCGTTTTTTACTGCCTTGTTAACTTAAGCTCATAGCTGTTGAATTTTTTATCTCTGAGATATGTGATTTTGGAAAAAAGTAGTATTGAAAGAACGTTTTCTTTACGACTTCTAGCAGTCTATAGACCTCCTCCGATGTCCTTTATTCTTTTTCGTCCATTTGCCAATCCACACACTTTTATATATTTCCCGACATTTTCTTCCTTTTCCAACGTCTTCTAAGACTCCTGTTTCTTGTTATTCTGTCCGTGTTTTTCTATTTTTTTTTTTCGTTTTCGATGAGCATAATTCATCCCTTACTTCTTCGTTTTTCTTTCTTTTCGAGTTCATCATAACATAAATACGTGTCAACGTCTTCTAGAATTTTGTTTTAGATATATGTGAAACGCCGATTAGACGTCATCGATCGGATTCTGTGCACATGAGAAAGATTTTTTTGGTTTTGTTCGAAGTAAAATAGAAATGTATTTAAGCAAAGAGTTGATTTCATTCAAATGCCATTTGAATGGGAATTTAGCTCTAGTTTGTTATTTTGGCATTTAAAGAAAATTTTGGATTCAATATAATTTCGGATTTATTTTTTTTTGTTAAAAAACATTTTTGGATAAAGAAGTTGGATTTTTTTCTATCTAGCCTGCCAATTTTCAAGTGACTGTTCCATACTTGGATCATTCGATATCATGAGAAAGTTGAGCTTCCGAGAGCATAACCTGGAAGCTTTTTTTGGATTCCTGGGCTTAATGAGATCTCAAAATTCTCATGAAATTTTCTCAGGATCTTTTTAGAATCTTTGGACTTCCTCATGAAAAATTATGTTGATAGAGCAAACCTCATGTGACTCCAAATTGTCCTAAAAGTGCATTAACATTTCCCAGCCACCCGTTTTATTTTCCGTCATTTCTCATCCTTCTCTTCCCCCCCCCCCCCCCCCCCATCCACAAAATGATCTCTTCTGATTGGTTACAACGAGGTCATCTATTTCAGACAGGTTCTTTACTGTTCTGCAGTCCGTGTGTTCGTTTTTCTCATCCATCAGTATCATCACCATTCATTTTTGTCCTCCTCTTTTTCGTCTTCCGTCCACCAATTCAAGGGAAGAACCGGCATTTTTGTCCGTTTCTGTCATTCTTCTTTCCTCGTTTTCTTCTCATTTCCTCTCGATTTTTCTCTTTCTCTCTTCTATACTCCACACATTTTCAAGTCCAGGCCGTGTGGGCTGTGGGCTTTCTCTTTTGCTCTCTCGCACTCACTCTACTGACTCAGACACACAAATTTCTCATACAACACTATACATACATGCGCTTCTTGGTTGCTTCTCAATGTCAATTTTTTTCTTCTTGTGGGTCCCTCTACTCATCATTTTTCAAATTTAAAATCCTGATAGTTTAAGTTTTTGGTTCTCCTATTTTTACGTTTTTCTGGATGTTCTAGACTTGGAATACATTTTCCAACAGAAAAATATATATTCATCAAAATAACGAAGCCTATTCTCCATCTTTTCTCCATTCCCAAATTTTCCTTTCCAGTATTTCATAAAAACAGTCATAAATTATTTGCTAATGGCTCTCTTTCCGACCCTTCTTTCCAAAAACGACCGAGAAAACGAAAAAAATCTCCATCCCGAAAATTTTTCGCTCAGTCCTGCTCATAAATTTTTAAGTCATTATCCAATAGCCAATTTTCAGCATCTCGGAATTCGACGCCAGCTAACCAGCGTGTGACACGTCGCTTAACTCGTAGCAGCGTTTCAACGTCGTGCGTCGCTTCCGAAGGCTCGATGTCGTCGTCGGTGGGACCGGAGGAGATGTCGTCGTCTTCCTCTTCGCCATACTTCCATCCACCAACACCTCAACAGGTGTTGGATGATTCTTCTCAACAGTCTCCCAGCTATTCACAGGATTCCAATTCTCCCGAACAACACACTTTCGAGTCAATGGAATCTTCTGAAGGTGGAACACCAAGCAGATATTCTCCATCTGGAAGATCTGATATAGACAATCCAAGTCTTGGATTGTATTCTGCACAAGGTTCTTATCCGTAAGTGTTTTTAAATCCCTCATCCTAAAAACAATAATGTTTATTACAAAAAGGAAAAACAACGAAGACTAAAACAACGAAGATTTCGAATGCTAATCCGTGACGCATTTTCAGATATTCCTTACGAAAACGTCGGCCTTGTTGCACAAAAGACGAGGATTTATGTTTTCCGATTGCAGCTGCCACAGCTGATGAGACACCTCAGCCCACAATGAAAAAGTTCAAATTGGAGTGCCTTTCACCTGGTGAAGCTAGAAAAGAGTAAGTTGATTTTTTTTCCATTCAGGAAGCAATTAAAAATTTCCAGTTTCTCAATTGATGATGAAATAAAAGTGGAGAACGCACATACCATAGAAGTTATGGATGATGAAGATCAAGAGGATTATATCAACACTCTCCCTGACGAACTTCTTCTAAAAGTATTCTCATTTCTTCCTGACAAGTCTCTTCTTGCTTGTAGTTCTGTCTGCTATCGTTTCAACCAAATTTCAAATAGTCATGAAGTATGGAAGGAGCTCTATTTGAGTTTATACGACTATCGTATTCCTCTTTTCCATCCATCTCATGCCAAATTTGAATTCCGGGAACAGAACCGTTGGAGGGATTGTAATCCATGGAAGGAGTCACATCGACAACTTCATCATGGAGTCCACGTCATGAAGGAGCCTCGTCAGAACTTCCGCGCCATCAATTATCGTTGTTTCGATCAGATTGAGCAGGCTCAGACGTTTTTGGAAGAGAACGAATACAGAGAGAAATTGATTTTCTTGCACTCTGGAGTTCACGAACCAATCGACACCATCCTTATCAACACTGATGTACAGATTATCGGAGCTAGTGATTCAAGAGATATTACGTCTTCTGTTGTTCTTGAGGGAAGCCGAAACACTGCCCTCACGTTCACCGATGGAAGTGCAAATGCATATTTTGGATTCATCACAGTCCGGTTTCGTGCTGATCCACAGTGTCGTCAACAGCAGCAACAAGCACAAATTGCTCAACAAGTACCTCAAATGAATCATTTTTATTCGATTCTGGTAACTGAGAAAGATGCGATGCCATACATCGAAAGATGTGATATCACTTCAAAAGTTGGAAACGGTGCTGCGGTTTGTGTCAAAAAGGGTGCTGCTCCAAAGGTAAGGACTTTAAATAGAAGGCGATTTTCAAAGACTGTGATTTTTTTCAGTTCAAATATTGCACTGTATTGGATTGCGAGAATGTTGGAATCTACATTACTGACAATGCAACTGGACACTATGAACATTGTGAAATTGCTCGAAACACTTTGGCTGGAGTCTGGGTCAAGAATCATGCAAATCCGTATTTCAGAAAGTGTACGATCCATTCCGGGAAAGATGTTGGTGTATTCACATTTGAGTAAGTTATACTTTCGAAATGATAAATCTCAACTTGTCATTTTTAGACATGGACAAGGTTATTTTGAAAAATGTAATATCCATTCCAATCGAATATCGGGTATCGAGGTGAAAAATTCGGCAAATCCGGTTGTGGTTCGGTGTGAAGTGCATCACGGATACACTGGTGGAATCTATGTTCACGAAAGAGGACGTGGCCAGTTTATGGAGAATCGTATCTATGCGAATGCGTATGCTGGAATCTGGATAACTTCGCATTCGGATCCAACAATCCGAAAGAATGAGATATTCACTGGACAACAAGGCGGAGTTTATATATTTGGAGAAGGACGAGGACTCATCGAACAGAATAACATCTATGGAAATGCGTTGGCTGGAATTCAGATTCGCTCGCAATCCGATCCAATTGTTCGCGCGAACAAGATCCACGACGGACTTCATGGTGGAATTTATGTTCATGAAAAAGGAAAGGGATTGATTGAAGAGAATGAGGTTTATGGGAATACACTCGCTGGTATTTGGGTGACGACTGGATCAAGTCCTATTCTGAGAAAAAATCGGATTCATTCTGGAAAACAAGTTGGAGTGTACTTCTACGATCAAGGTCATGGTCTTCTGGAGGACAATGATATCTTCAACCATCTTTACTCTGGTGTTCAAATTCGAACCGGATCCAATCCGAAAATCACAAGGAACAAAATTTGGGGAGGACAGAATGGAGGTGTCTTGGTATACAATGGAGGAAAAGGATGCTTAGAAGGTATAGCTAATTTTTATATTTTTATTTCAATGAACCATTTATTCTTCCAGACAACGAAATCTTCGATAACGCAATGGCAGGTGTATGGATCAAAACTGACAGTGAGCCGACACTTCGAAGAAACAAGATTTATGATGGAAGAGACGGCGGAGTATGTATTTTCAATCGTGGAAAAGGTCTTCTCGAGGATAATGAAATCTTCCGAAATGCCCAAGCAGGTGTTCTCATTTCGACGGAATCCAATCCAATTCTACGAAGAAATCGAGTTTTCGATGGAAAATCGGCCGGAATTGAGATCACGAATGGTGCAACAGCAACACTGGAAGAAAATCAATTATTTAGAAATAAATATGGAGGTGAGGAATCATTGACGTCTTCTCGTTCCCTGCTTATCATATTAGATTAAACCATTAAACCATCGGAGATTGAAAGCGATAAGTGATATCAGTTTTAGTTCCTTCTTTCGCATGTTCTTTTCGGATTATCTTTTCTTATTTTTAGGACTTTGCGTGGCTACTGGAGTCAATCCTGTTCAAAAGAATAATCACATTTACGACAACCACGATACAATTGGACGAGCCTTGAAATCTGGACAATGCCTCTACAAAGTGAGCAGCAACAACAGTTTTCCAATGCACAATTTCTTTAGGTTAGGTTTCACTTCTTTAGAATTCTAACTCTCTAATAATCCCTAAATTTCAGATGCACCACGTGCAATACAACCGAACGTAACGCTATTTGCTACAACTGCATCAAACATTGCCATCGTGGCCATTCAGTGGAGCTGGTGAGATTCGATAGGTAAGCGTTTTACTTTCAGATTCATAGATTTCCAAAATTACTGTTTCAGATTCTTCTGTGATTGCGGAGCCGGAACACTGGAGCGTCACTGTCATCTTCAGAATGTGCCACGTGACAACGACACCGTCTATGACTCAGCGACCCCGATCTCTACCGAGACAGGCACAGAAATTTAAGAAAATCCTTTTAAAAAAGAGTATACTATACTCATTTTCACTCATTTTCGTGTTTTGTACCCTTTCCATTATCACATCACACTACCCATTTCGATGTCTTTCTTTCACACCGATTCGAGATCTCTTTCTGATGTTTTTTTTTTGAAAAGTCTCTCATTGCTTAAAATTTTCTAGATTATTTCAGCATTGCTTACCACTTTTATCTTTCAAAATTGTAAAAGTGCAAAACACTTCTGTGATATAGTTGATCCCATTCTTTAATTCACTATCTCGTGACCCTCTTCTCTTTCTTTCCTGCCTTGATCCGTTTTCTTTAAAACTCTAATATGGATATAGTTTAATAAATTGGTTTTTTTTTTGTTTTTTGGTGTAATCGATTCAAAACAAAATGGAGCAGGGAAACATTTATTGAAGTTTTCAGTCAAGGGGCTTCTGAACATCTTATTCTAGAATCTTAAGATCTTTGCTCAGAACAGGGTGACAGAACATTGCTTAACTTCTCCTTTTTTCAAAATAAAACGGTCTTATTACTGTGATACCTTTATCAAAATGCTTTAAATACGTTAAAATTTTTGTTTCACAACAAGTAGCCAAAATTAGAACCACAAGGTTTGCCGGATAAAATTGAAATCTGAGTAGTTAAGAGGCTGCTAAACCTTGCCGAGATATCGAAAGAGTCTATAACCAATACTAAAAATCAGAAGATTGAACTCTGGCACTAGTTTTCATTTAGTCTAATATGTTTCATTTAGTCTAATATGTATTCAATCACGTCACTCTAATGAATGGATTCTTCAAACAAACACCTTAACATTTATATACATTTTAGCTCTATATATTACAATTATTTTTAGAATGAATTCTATAGCAATCATCCTTGGAATCTTCCACACCCCCTTTGTGATATTCACTTGATCTTCCCTCAACTGGTATTTGGTATGTTTGCACAATTACCCATCTCGGACAAAATACGAAAATGTGTGAGGAGTATTTCGAGAACCCTCCCAGACACCACCCAAAACCTCAAATATATCTATACTTAACCACATACACTTCGTTGGTCGCGTCTTGATCTCAAACGACAAACAATGACAACAAGATTGGCAGTGGTAGTATACAAGTGTGCACGAGGTGGTAAAACAGTATAAAAGGAATAAAAAACTACTTGTTCAAGTAAACGAAAAGAGCCAAAAAATGAGAGTTGCCATTCTCCTAATTATTTTTCCACTTGTCTCTACTAATGTTAGGTCAACGAGCATAAGCGAAGAGAGCACTGAAGTTGCGATTTCACGACCAAAACGACAGATTTATTACTTGTGCGGAAACTTCCCAAATCAGTATCTCAGTTTAACTCGTAAGTACTCTTTTATGTTGAAAAGTAGTTAACTGGCAAAATATTTTTGATATCATAATGCGCATTTTGTCAGTAAATTATTTTTCAATATCTTTAACATTAAAAGAGATATATGAGCTCAAAACTAACGGTTTGGTGCCCTTCTACTAGAATGTTTACGGTATTTCTTTGAAACTATCCGAAAAACTCAATCTTTTGAAATAAGTCGAATTTATTTTCAGCATGTAACAACAATGGCTGTAGCACCTGCAACAACTGCAACACAGCCACCTGCAGCACTTCCAGCTACTGCCAGCAGATTCGCAGTAACTGGAGATGTGTCAATGGATGCTGCAGAGTTCCGAACTACGAGCCGACTCTTCCACCAACCACCACTAGAAATCCAGTGAACCCGAACCCAGTTTGTGGTGGACGTGAAACTTCTGGAGGATACTGTAGATCTGGAAACCTTTGTGGATCTGGATACATGTGTACAGATAACAATGTCTGCTGTAGGTGCTCTTATGGAACTTCTATTGGTAAATTTTAATGCGTACAAGATGAATTGTTATTAGTGATTTTTCAGGTCCATGTGTGAATGGCCAATGCCCGGACAACACCTACTGTTCACCAACAAACAACTGCTGTCCATATCTTACATCGGGATAATTTGAAGACTTTTTTGCTCAAAATAAAAGATTTATTTATCTCGCGCAAAAGCGAAAGCGATGGGAAGATGAGTAAAGCGTCGAAATTATCAGAATATATATGATTGAGGAGAAAAAAAACAGTAGAAAGGAAAAATTGGGATGGGAAAAAAGTATATTCAATGGTTGTGAAGGTAAACTAAGGCACTATGCTAACTGATGCCGTTTTATTGAATGTGAAGGATGGGAGTCATATAATGAAACATGAACAGGAGAAAAACTCGTTAGTCACTCTGCTGAAATTATTGAGAGAAGGAGAAGAAGAGAAAAAACGGGGAAAGCGGAAAACTAAGACAAGAAGATAGTATCAAGGTACGCGAAGATAAATCGAAATATACACGCAAATGGAATGTTGTCAGGCGAGAAAAGCAAAGAGAGCTTGGAGAAAAAGAATTTAAAGCTCGGAAAAGTGAGAAACCACTTGTTGGAGACCCAATTCGATTTTTGACATCTCGCGGATCTCGAACTTTTTCACTTTTCCAGTGACCGTCAGCGGGAATTGATGCTCTTTTTTGAAGAGAATGTAGCGAGGAATTTTGAAATGGGCAATCTGAAATCAGTAATGTAACTATAAGCTCGCACACACCAAAAATGTACCTTTCCCTTGCACCAAGCCTTTATGTCCTCTTCTGTAGTCTTTCCTTCAGCGCTCTCGTGCAATCTGACCCAAGCACAAACCACTTCTCCGAATCGCTCATCTGGCACTCCAACAATCTGAAATTGAAAAGGATGAACATTTCTAAGGATCGTTTTCAGACTCACATGTACATCTTCTACAGCCTGATGCTTAAACAAGAATTGCTCAACTTCAGTTGGATAGATATTCTCTCCTCCTCGAACGATCATATCCTTGGATCGTCCAACGATAGAAATGGTTCCATTATCATGCATGACAGCAATATCTCCGGTGTGGTACCATCTATCCTGAGTGATCTCTTTCTTTGTCTGCTCCTCACTATTCCAATAACAACGCATAACAGAGTATCCGCGAACAATGACTTCTCCCTTGACTCCACGGGGAACAATACAGTTTCTCTTATCAACAATGGCTGCTTCCAAGTGATCCATAATGTGTCCAACTGATTTGATTCTTTGCTCTGGTGGATCGTCACGAGTTGACATGAAAGACACTGGAGAGGTTTCCGTTGTTCCATAGCACACTTGCATATCAGTCATGTGCATGTCTTGGACTAGACGACGACAAAGAGTAATAGGGCATGGAGCTCCAGCGATGAATCCGCTTCTGATAGAATCATAGTTGTATTTAGTGTATTCTGGATGGTTGATCATATCGATGAACATAGTTGGAGTTCCGTACAGAGCAGTACATTTCTCCTCATGGATTGCTTTGAGAGCAGCAAGAGCATCGAAGGATGGAGCAGGGAATACACAAGTTTGAAGATGAGTGAGAGCAGCCAACACTCCCATAACACATCCAAAGCAGTGATAAAGTGGGTTTGGAATGCAAATGATTGTTTTCTTTTCACTGTATCCGGCACGAAGACCAACGAAGAATGCGTTGTTGAGAACATTGTGATGGGTGAGAGTGGCTCCTTTTGGCTGTCCAGTGGTTCCACTTGTGTATTGGATATTCAGAGCATCATCTGGTTGAGTTTCCCTCTCGATCTTTGAAAGTTGGTGTCTATCTTCCTCTGTTCCCATTTTCATCACTTCAGTGTACTTCCATGCTCCTCTGTAATCAGTGAATTTTGCTAGTCAACACTTCAAAATCAACTCACGGATAAATCTTATCTTCCTCGTCGAACATAATCAAGTGTTGGAAGCACGAGAAGTTTCTAGAACTGATTCCACTCTTTCCTGGTTCTTTCAGTGTAACTTCTGGAAGAATATCCTTGATGCTCTGGTAGTAGTTGGATTTTTTGAATCCTGGTGGTGTGATGAGTGCTCTGATTCCTACTTTCTCGATAGCATAACGGAGTTCTTCCGATTGATATGATGGATTGATGTTGACCTGGAAAATTACAAAGACAATTAGTTTTTAAAAGCTTATGTTTCGGTTGAACTTACTAGAACCATTCCAGCTAAAGCAGTGGCAAATTGGGTAGTGGTCCATTCATACGTGTTCGGTCCCCAGATTCCAATACGGTCTCCTTTGTTCAATCCCAAGTGGAGAAGTCCGCAAGCCAGATTTTCCGCCTGAAAAATCAAGAATTCTGATTGAAAAAATACATTTTTAAAATTAACTCACATCAGTGGCAACTTGTGAATAAGTTTTTCTGATTCCTTCTCTCTTGAAAATCAAAAATTCCTTATCTGGAACCTGGTCAACAGCCGAACGAAGTCGATCTCCAACAGTTTCGAAGAGCAATTGAACATGTGAACAACCGTGGACATACGACTTCCGACTCGGTGCCACCATCACGTCGTTGGCGTTCAGAGCGGCTTCTTCCAAAGAGATCGGCTCTTCTGAAAACATATTGTTCTAGAAGAATGTCATGTGGGTGGGTTTTTTGGGGAGGAATGGCATCTCTCAGAGCACCTAATCGAATCGGTGTCGGTTCGCTGCTTACACACATCTACAGTATACCTTGTGGACAGTAAAAATAATTGCGTATAGATATTGAATGGAAAGACTCAAGAATGGAGCGTTTCGATTGAACAAAATATGGGAACGAGTGACCGAGAAAGTGCATATCTTCGTGCTTTTTTGCAATGAAAGAAGACTCTTCAATTGGAGCTCGGTGGAGCTCAGCGCCTTATTTTCTTGGCTTATTCTCCTTGTTTTGTTTTCCTTCGACCAACACCACCACCACTTTTCAGGATGACGATAACTCGATTTTGCTTTCATTGCGTGTTTGGAGTGGCTTGGAGAAACAAGCAAAGAAACGAAAAAAAAATCTCGAAGGAGAGGAAGAACTTTGTAGACTAATTTCAGTGACGTCAGTGGTGATTGGTAAACTTGAGGTACTCAAAAAAGGACTCAAGGAACAGGAGAACCAGTTCCACATCGCCCAGGAAGAGGAGATGGGAAAAATACAATTTTCGAAATTAATTAATTTTTGTGGTTGCCGTCAACAGCTACAACACAGAACTATCAGAACAATCTAGTCAGATTTAATTTTGATTTTCTTTAGAATTGGCACAAGTTTCAAAATTGCTGAACATAAATCACAAAACCTGGAACTTTGGAGCAATTTCTGGAGCAATTTCAACTAGATATGAAGAGCCTAGTTTGAAAAAGGTGTATCCGGAAACTAGGAAAACTAGGAAGAGGGGCTATAACGTACTGAGAATGTAGAATAGGAGGAGGATGATAAATTGTGATTATTGAGGGGCACGACATTGAAAAAAGATACGAGAGGCGGCGAGAAGACGGCGAATAACCGTGTACTGTCCGTTGAGGCGCTTCTTTCTCTTCTCCCAATAGTTTTTCTTTTTTTTTGCTGATTGCACTTTGTGGCATTTTATCCAATTTTATTTTTGCAAGAACAGAAGCTTTTGATCTTCTATGATCGTTTTTTAAACCCCTGATGTAGGTATTCCCATACTCACCGTACAACATCTTCTTCTTGCGGTCCTCTTCCAAACTGGCAGTGTCGAACTGAAAAATGAAGAAATTGGGGATATGAGAAGAGAATGAGAGAAGGAGGTAGGAGAAGCTCACACCCACGAATATGTCAAATTTCAAGGAAGGATCGCCTTTTTTGAAACAGAAAAGGATTTGATAGATGAAGAGTAATTGAGAAGATCAGAGAGCATCTTTTTTGAAAATCGGAAGTTAATTGGAAAACTGAAGAAGACGGAACGACTAAACAACAAAAAACAAAAGATGATGGAACACCCATGATACAAAAACGACGGTGGGATAGATGATGATGATCCATCCATAGTCATCGACTGTAGCAGTCTCTTCTGTTTGTCTGTCGTCTCGTCCGTGTATCCCCTATCAGAACCGTCTTTCAACGTCTTCGCGTGTGTGTGTTCGAAACGGGTTTTCCCTTTTCGTCGGATGCGTTGGGAGAGGAGGAAAAGGAGCGCGCCGAATTTGAATCTTTCGGAGTCATCGCGCTCCGAACCCGACGGTATCTGCACACAGAGTGATCAGATTAGTAAAAAATGCAGAGAGCTTATCAGTGACCAGCTACGATCAGAAAATATGTAGTCACATAAATATCATTATTCGGCGAACTACCTGATAGTGAAACTTTTGGATCCAGTGGCTTATAAAAGTGAGTTTTCATTTATTACTGGTTTAAAGTGGGACCTTTTCAAATGAAATTCTTCTCACTGAGAAAAGAATTAAGAATAAAATTCAAGCATTCAGAAATTCTATTTTATGCTAAAGCTAACCTTATCCAAATCTGAAAGTCAATAGAAATTGAATACGTTGTACTAGCACTTTAGTGTACTTGTTACCAAAATCAACGCTCAAACTTCAAGCAGCACCAGAAATGAAAGCGAAACTCTAAACCAAAAACGTTTTTAGAAATTCCCAAAGATAACAGTCTGAAAAGAAGTGGGTGGATAGGGCGAGATGATGGAGACAACAAAGCAGATACAGATACAAGAGAGCCACCTGAATTTCAGAAATGATGTTAGTGATGATGGCATCGGTCTCTTCTCGGATGATGGGCGCAAAAAATTGGATTGCCTCAAGAGAGAACGAGATGGCCAACGAGAAGTGGGGGGACGGCAAAAAGAAGAAAAAGAAGAGAGGGATGTTTTGGCGAAGGAATGGATGGGCTTTTTGCAAGGAAGCATAGGATTGAATGTTGAAACGTTTGAAACGGAAGATTCTGAATACCAATGGTAGATCTATGAAGAAGAAAAACCATGACGTGGTGCAAGTGGGCGGAGCCAGACGACACAAACAGAAAGTGACAAAAAAAATAGTGGGTGAAGTGCTATCCGCGCGAATTTGATTATTCCGGCACGAAAGGCTGTGAGCAATCCCGGTAACTGGCAACTCATTTGGAAGTGAAATAGATGGGATGAGGACCATAAAAGTTTAATGGACGGAATGAGGACGAAAGAAGTGAAGGGGAGATAGATAGGCATGAAGTAAACGAGAAGAGAAACACGACACGACTTTCAAGATGAGGTGGATGGTGGACGCCGATCTCGAACGGAGATATTCATCGGGATAGGAGACATATATTCTCATTCCTTCTTCTCCTCCTGGCACTCCATCTCTTTCTATGGACTTTTCAGTTAACAAGGATAAATGTGGGTAGATTGGAATGGAAACATAGAAACAGAAAAGGTAGGCGGTGTCAGGTTACCGAGGATCCATAGATTTTCAAACAAATCCTAAGTTACTAGACTGACTGTGAACTTTTTTCCGTAGTTTTTAACTTTTTCTGAATGTCTTCAATGGCTTATTTCTAGGACCTACATATTTTTACGATTTTTAACGCTGATTCGACCCTCAGAATCCAAAATACTACTTGAATCCTTGTCTGATCTTATATACTCTAAATGCTTCCAGAAGCTACATCGGATCTCATAATTCTGAATACCACATACCTGTGTCAGAAGACGAAGGTCCATTGCGTTCACCATAGACATCTTGAGAGCAACTGGTGGTGTGACTAGTTCACGGCTTGTAAATGAACAAAGTATGGGCTTGAGCACTGATTGTCGCCTCCTTATCTACTCGGTTTTTTAGCTTATCACTTTGCAACCACTCCACGATTCTTTATTTTTTCCGCATTAGATAACACCCACTTCCTGACTTTTTCGTTGACAAGCTTGTGAAAGAGCTCCAAAGAGGCGGAGCTTTAAAAATTTAAGTTCACATGAATTAAGCATGGTAATCAAGAGGTAAACAAGTTTGAGCTAGCCAAAGATACTGTAATCCAAACGCTGGATCAGATTCTTAGAATCAGAGGAATTCAGAATCTGTAGCCTCCAAACTGTATGGTATCAGAAAGTGGCTCCGTGTGATCGGTATGGTCTCTATACATTATAGCAGAAAGAACAAGTGTCAGTTTGATGACGAATATTCAGAGTTTCGAAATAATAATTCTTTAGGGAAAAGTTGCCATAGTCTCTCACACAAAAGAAAAGGTATTGTTCCAAATATGAGAATATCTGAAGAAACTGCATATTCTAGTAGAATCAAAGAAGGTGTAACATTCTTCTCCCCAGTTCCTCTCTATCACTTTCACGTTGAAGTGAAACTTCTGATCTTAGCTGACTTCTTTGACAGGCGGAAAAAGAAAGAAGAAGAATACAGTGTTGTTCAAAAAATCACTCTAAAAATCATCTGATGAGTCATTAATACTAGGATCGGATGATGTCAGCTGACAAACTTTTTTGAAATTCTAGACGTCTCGGAGTGATCACAAGAATTTTGAAAAAGGATTCAATGTTCAGAATAGGCATGAAAGTTCTATTTATGGTAGCACTATCAAACTATAAACCTTCTCCAAATAAGAGAACCCGCCTGTTTTCTAGAAAACAACAAACCCATTTGTTTGTAGAATCATTTCGGAGAAAAATAAAAAAGTTGTGATATTTGATCACCTAAAAAGTCATCTTCGAAGAACATCTTTTTTTGTCTTCAAAGATCAGAAAAGACCTAGAGAAAACATTTTTTCAGCTCTATTATCCAATCCATCCATTTTCTTGCTTTCCACCTTCACTTTTGAACCATTTTAAAGAATATTTCTGAAATCATGTGAAAGATTTCAGACGCAGACAGTCGGAGGGATTTTCCCTCCCATTGTGTTTTGTATGTATCATTCATTTGATTCCGACGTCTTCCCTTTCCGATCTTTCGTCATACTTCCTAAAAGATCACTTAACATCTTACATCACTTCTCTCGATTCGTCCAAAAAAGAAAATAGAACCACCACCACAAATCATCGTTTTTTTTTCATGCCATGTTTAGTGTCCAGTAATTTTTCCGAGTGATAGCTGAGTCAGGAAGTGGACAGATTCGGAATGCGGCAGTGCTCCTTTTGAAGAGAGATAAGAAAAATGGGAGGAGGTATTGTTGATGAGGTGATTTTTTAGAGAACAAAGAAGGGAAAAGAAGATTGATACAAATTACAAGTTGTCAAATGTTATCAGAAAACGAATTGACGAGATCAGTGAAACATGAACGACTGTTCTATACACGGCCTTGCCTCCGGAGCTCTTTAAATACTAAAGGAGATGAGAGCCAATTTCAGAGAAAGAAAGAAATATGCACTTGGCAGACCTACAGTGAAAAACTCAGAATAAAAATTCAGTGCAAGATGATATTGCTGGGTGTTAAATAAAGAAAGAAACAGGAAATACAGTACCATGCAAAAGTGAATAACGTAAAATCTGCCTTTTAACTTTGAATCAATTTATCTCGGTTCCTGTAAAAAATATCAAAAAGTTGTCAACTGGTAAAGTGTTTATCATAATATCAGAAGTCTTTTCTTTTTGATATTTTTGCATAGGAATTGAGATTATTGGGATCAAACTTCGCAGTGTGGGGGCTTTTCTATTACAGGTTTTACAACATGTTAAAAATTATCATGGGGTTCTAAGCTTAAATTTTAAAGAGAATCGGCATTGTTTAGTTTTGTATTTAAAAATCGAAAAATTTTCCTTTCCATATTTTTGAATTTGAAATTAAAATTGGCCAGACAGAAGTATTCCGACATGTACGATGTTATGAAATGGTTTGAATTGAGTTGTGAGTAAATAGCGGTTGTTCCAAATTTTCGTTTGAAGAAATCACTGGAAAACTGTTTGATCCTATTAGTTAGCTCGTTTTTTCTTAGTTAAAAAAAACTTGCATTGCCCGGATCGAATAATACCAAGAAATCAACTATTTGGGAGACTTTTGTCCTCCGTTAATAAAACTGATTTTTTCCCTAATTTGGTCACAAAATCAATTTTACCAGTAGTATTCTTTCTTCCATGGATTTCCAAACGATTCGTTGTTTTAAAAAGACTGATTTTACTTTCCTAGTCGAAATGAAGCACAGACACGTTTACCGTATTTTCTAAAATAGAAGGGTCTCCAAAACCGTTAATTTCGAGCTCAATTATCTCTATTCCTGTGAAAGATATTAAAAATATTTCAACTGAAAAAATGTTTGTGATATCATGATGAGTAATTCATCAGTTGACAATTTTTTGATATCTTTCACAGAGCACGGGATAAATGAGCGCCAAGTTGAAGGTTAGGGTGACATTCTATCAGTGTGTTTACTGTAATTGAACGTTCGTTATCAGAGTAAAGTGCGGATATCTCACATAATTAATACTTAACTACGCAATTCAATTTGAACCTAATTGCCTTGGTTTTTAAAAGAAACGTCAAAAATTCCACAATTAATGAACCGTTGGTCGGGAGAATTGATTTTTAGGAATTTCCTTGATCTACAGGCTTTAAAAATTCCAGTCCATTAAATGAGGTACAAAGAAAATTAACAAAACCCAATATATAAAAAATGTTTATCCGTTGATATTTATTGGTCTGTCGAATTGGTGAAAAATCGGTCGCAGAATAAAAACAAGCATCTTCGAGAGACAGAATTTGACAACTTTGTTCCAGAATGAACGGTATCTAGAGCGCATTTAAAGATGATTGCATACTTTGTCATAACTTTTAAAAAAGTCGGAAACATGGTTTTTAGGCAAACACTGACTGTTATTTGTCTGATTCCTATGGAAAAATATATAGTGAATAAAATTATATGTGAGAATTTATTTATGATAACCACTCAACGTTACTCTGGCGAACTCAGAAAAAAACATTGGGAAGATTTATTGGGAGACCGAACAGGACAGAAGACCTTGTTGGAAAGTGTGAGGTATGTAATTAGAATGACGATGGATCGATGATGATTCGTTTCCATTTCATTTGTTCTTCTTTTGTATTTTGTAGTTGAATTCAGCATCTGGGTGTAATCTTTGGTACTGCTCCCTGGATTGAATGCGAATTTTCTGAAATTTCGAAAATGGAAAATAAAAATAAAAAATCAGAAAGAATTGAGAACCTTTTTCATAGTGTCGATTTCTTCTTGAATTTGCTCAGGAGGGACTACGGAGAGATGGAGTTCAATTGCAGAGTACAGAGCATTTGCAACCGATTGGTTCCGTTGTGGGAAGCCAAGACGAGGGTTCGGTTCCTGGAAAAAATATGGGTTATTGAACTTTCAAAGAAATTCAAATTTTAGAATTAATGAAAATATAATTATTTCAGTCCCCCCATTTCCAGATCCCAGATCTTCAACGCACTCTCTACCCCAATTTGGAGATCAGGACCTACTCACATTGATCAATTCACAGTTTGCAATAGCAACCCAGACGACAAAAAGAGAAGAGAATAGTGAAACTTTATTGAAACGCATATCAATTTTTATAAAATAAGAAGGACGACGCCAAAATAATAAGAATTGGGCGAATGATTTCGAAGGTGAAATGCATATTTTTGATAATATTATTTTATCGGAGGACATGGTCATGACGTTTAGAATGGTCTTCCGTAGTATGGTGGTGGTGGGGGTCCGTGATGATGGTGATGGTGGATTGGTCCTCCGAATCTTGGTCCGCCGTAGCCTCCGTATCCGAAACGACCATAGCGACCATATCCTCCATAGCCTACGCCTCCGTATCTGTGAATAATATGTTTTATGAAGTACGTCACACATGTTTTTATACCTTCCGTATGGTCCGTAACCTCCTGGGCCTCCGATTCCTGGTCCTCCGAGTGGTGGTCCTCCAAGACCTGGTCCACCGAGCCCGGCAGTACCAACGGTTCCATAGGATCCAACGGTGTTTACTCCATTGGTGGAGACAGAAGACCAACCTGAAGTGACTTGGTTATGGAATTTAATTTAGACGAAATTTGATTTGAACTTTTTTCCAAACGAATTTTGTAATTCTTAAACGTATTCCGAAAGAGAAGATTCTTAATAAACTAAAACTTACTGGTTACGGCAAGAGCTTGGCTGACGAATAGCCCGAGAACGGCGATAACGATGAGACGAGTCATCTGAAACAGAATAAATTGAAAATATATCAAGTTTATGCAAATGTTGAAAAATGATCAAGAAAATAGGTTAATATTGGACCAACATCGCAAAGAAAGAACACAACCGTCCGGCTCGCATTTAGTTCGTTCAATAGAATGACCTATTGACTGAAGGTGTTCTGGTGTGTCTTCTGTAACCCGGATAACACATTTATGGGGGGGGGGGTGTGTTCACCACAATCGATCATATCTCATCTTCGGGGAAGAAGACAATAGAGGACGCATGGCAACCGAGAAGACAATACATAGTGAATGACGGTAGATGAATTATAGGATGATTTGAATCTGTAGGTTTGTTCTGGAAACACAATGGATGCGTTGGATGATTAGATTAAAACATTTTGATAGCGGTGGTGATGCATGGTTTTATGATGCTAGTCATGGATCGCTTCTGATTCCTTTCGTCGTTATAGTACCAACTCCCATTTGGAAGATCAACGTTTGAAGAGTTTCTAAAATAGTAATGCTGAATCAAAAATTTAAATTAGTGTTCGGAACTAAAAGAAAAATTATTGATATGGAAACTGAGATTGGGAATCTGAATGAACATACTTTCCCGCAGGCCGATTAAGGGCAGGCACGGACCAGCGGATAACTCGCTTTAAATTTGAAATTGTGGGTAAACAACGTACCAGATGATAGAGCTCGGCGAGATATACAACTTCCAATATGAATCAACCAGCATTTAAATCAATAAATAGATGCGTTCCGACATTTAATAGCCGGGCCGGACCATAATGATCGCCTTGGAAGTTCGCTGAACTCAACCATGCTATCTAATCGCAGTTTGAATTTTGAAGCGAGTTATCAACCGGCCCGGAATCAGCCCCTCGACAAGTATGTGAATAGATTAATGGTGAAATACAGTAGCCTCTTTGGAAATTTCAGGCGTAGTTCTTAACGAATTCGAAATTGGTAGACGATGTACTACTTCATTGCTTGAACATATGATTTCAAGATCTGTTGTCAATGTAAAAATGAATCGAGATATCAGGATGTTGATTTTTGAACTACCGTGAACACTCTGATAGAATGATACACAATCCGTCAACTTTGAGCACATCTATCTTATTCCCTGTAAAAGATATCAAATACAAGTCAGCTGATAAAATGTTTATCATAATATCAAATACATTTTGATAGTTAACCATTTTTTGATGTCTTTCACGGGAACCGAGATATATGGGCTCGAAGTTAGACTGTTTACGGTATATGGAACTTGACGTTTGTTAATTAATTGTTATTATGCTTGTCTGAGCAAAAAAAGGTTGAGACGCAGAGAAAAAGTGTCTGCGTCTTCACCGTTTGTGTGCTATTTAGGCTCTCCGCTTCGATATCGCTACCGTATTCAGACTGCAAAAAAATACTCTCTAACTTTTTTTTCTCAGACAAGCATAATAGTGGTAAATATATGCCTAATTTTTCCAGATTACCATGATCGCTTCAGGTGATCAATGATGTGTCTCAATCCACTGAACACTTATCAATGTTCCCCACGTCTGTGTCGCTTCGTTCTTTGAACTTAAATCAGTCTTGATGTCTCTAGGTTCTCGAATAATCTCTATCTCTCACTGCGACTATAAAAGTTCTCTAAAATGTTGTCTTCTTGTCCTGCTTTTTTTCAAAAGATTCAACTCTTCTAGAAAAAAAACCTCTAATTTTGCAGTGATATGTTGCTCGCTCTGTTGTCTGATGACCTCGAGTCTTGAAGAGAGTAGCCTCCCCATCCAGTTTACGTGACAAACAACAACTCGTCTGTTTTCTCTCGTCCTCTCATCTCTACCCATTTTTACAACAAAGTCTGTTGGGTCATTGGCAGACCTGTTGATAGTCATCTGAATGTTGCTATTTTGTTGCTCTTTTGATTTTATTATTTTTGGAAGAGGCATCGTGTTGCGACCTAAAAAACCTCTTCGAAAAACGTCCTTTAAAATCTTACGGTAGAATTTCAAAGGAACATTCTTCAATGTGATGAGGTCTCATAACGATATCACCTTTTTGTTTTTTTTTGCTCTCGGCGCGCAAAACCAAATTTGGTTTTTTAATCGCTAGTTGACCAACTTTTTCACTGAAAACAAATCATATTTATCACTTCATCACCTTCGAAAGCCTATTTCATGTATTCCCCTTTGCGAACTGCGGCGCCATCGATTTGAAACGTTCGGCGCCGCCGATTCAGTTTGTTTACAAGTTCAAAGTGCGCTGTTGGCCAGTGAAACGAGAGAAAACGGGCGGCGCGTATCTTCTCTGACATTCACATCGTCTCTCGTCGCCGCTCCCCCTTTTTCTCGCGTTGGGCATCTATTTTGTGTTTTTCTCCTGTCTGTTTGGTTTTTCTTCTCAACAGCGCTCACTCAACTCAGAAACCACCACAATCTTATCATTTTCATAGTGTTGTCTTGATTAGGCAACACTTTACCCTGTTTTCGATTCTGCAGTTCCTTTCATCTTATTTTTCTTATTCTTCTTTCTCCAAGTAACTTCTACTATCGGCACAATATTCATCTTCGGTCTTTGTAGAAACGTGCAAGTTAGCACTTCTTTTCGTGGTCTATTGAAATCTTGTTCACTGCTCAACCGCCGCACTTTTTCTCGTTTCTGCGATTCATATTCTCAATACAAATTCTTTTCAGAATGACTGCCCCACTTCGCGTTTTGGTCACTGGAGCCGCTGGTCAGATCGGATACTCGATCGTCATCCGTATCGCTGATGGAACCGTCTTTGGGAAAGACCAGCCAGTGCAACTCGTCCTTCTCGACGTGCCACAATGCTCCAACGTTCTCGAAGGAGTCGTCTTCGAGCTCCAGGACTGCGCTCTCCCAACTCTTCACAGCGTTGAGGCTGTGACCGAGGAGAAGCCAGCTTTCACCGGAATCGACTACGCATTCTTGGTTGGAGCAATGCCAAGACGCGAAGGAATGGAACGCAAGGATCTTCTTGCCGCCAATGTCAAGATCTTCAAGTCGCAAGGAAAGGCTCTCGCGGAGTACGCCAAGCCAACAACCAAGGTATATCCGAAAAACATTTTTATTTGAAACCAATGTTTTCAGGTCATCGTTGTTGGAAACCCGGCCAACACTAACGCATTCATCGCTGCCAAGTATGCTGCCGGAAAGATCCCAGCAAAGAACTTCTCTGCTATGACTCGTTTGGATCACAACCGCGCCCTTGCTCAACTTGCACTTAAGACCGGAACTACCATCGGAGACGTCAAGAACGTTATCATCTGGGGAAACCACTCTGGAACTCAATTCCCAGATGTCACTCACGCCACCGTCAAGAAAAACGGAACTGAGACTGACGCTTACTCCGCTGTTGGAGACAACGCTTTCCTTCAAGGACCATTCATTGCCACCGTTCAAAAGCGTGGAGGAGTCATCATTGAGAAGAGAAAGCTTTCGTCTGCCATGTCCGCAGCCAAGGCGGCCTGCGACCACATCCATGACTGGCACTTCGGAACCAAGGCTGTAAAAAAATCTTATTCTTTCAGCAGTTAACACGAAATTAATTTTCAGGGAGAGCACGTCTCGATGGCTGTTCCTTCTGATGGTTCGTATGGAATTCCACAAGGCCTCATCTTCTCGTTCCCAGTCACCATCGAGTCTGGTGAATGGAAGATCGTCCAGGGGCTCAGCTTCGACGATTTCGCCAAGGGAAAGATCGCTGCTACCACCAAGGAACTCGAGGAGGAGAGAGATGATGCCCTTAAGGCTTGTGATGACGCCAACATCTAAGATTCATATTTCTGATTTACTCTTCTTCTAAACCTTAATGTTTCTCATAATGTAAAGACACAGTAGGAAGTCTAAATATATGTTTATTCGTTGTACAATAAAATTATTGCATCTGATTCCTGAATATGTTTGTTTGTCCTACATGTTCCAACTAGTCACTCGTTCCGTCGTATATCTTTCCTGAAAGCAATCAGTTTGACAACATTGCGAATTCGGAAGATACAGCAGAAAAAAGTTGGAGAAGCGAAGTCATCTGCATAGGAAGCAGGTTTGGGGGGCGAGCGATTTGCGAGAATTCGTGAAATGAGGGAAGTAGGAGGCGTCAGTGTTGACCATTCATTCCAGCAATTGTCCCTTCCTTGTTCAACAACGCCTGTCTCTAGGCGTCGGCTTTTTTTTTCTCAGCTTTGATCAGCGAACCGAATTTTCAAGTTCTGCATCACTTTAGAAAAAAAAAGCGAATCCGTTTTCCGCTAAAAGTTTTTTACTAAAAATCAGCCAACACCAACAATAATTTATATGCAAGCTTTTGCTGTTGGAAATTGACGAGCTTCCAAAAACATGCTTGCTGTGACAATTTTTTCCGAAATTTTTCAACGAAAAATTCGGTGGATTCTCGTACAAAATTCATAAAAATTTACGAATTTTACAAAAATTATGCAATTTTTCGAGAAAAAGTAGTTTTTCAATAAATTTCTGTGATATTGTGGATTTTCTGGAATATTCTTCACTTAAATATTCTTCAGAATATTCTTCACTTTCAATACAAACGACGCGTTTGATACGGGCTCTTTTTTCCAAACCATGTTCAAGACCTTTATCTCGGTTCAAGACCTTTATCTCTTCCTCGAACGTGCATTCCTTGCAGAATGAAGAAATCAGATCGGGTTACTGTTCTTCATCAATGTTTGACCCAAATCGGGACGTTTTTTCTGCTGATCGGGTGGCGCTATCAAAGACGCTATCATTTAATAAACATTGAGAAGACCTAGTTATCCACAAAGCTCGATCGATAATCGCAAATGCGGTACGACATGTTGGAAGAGATAAGTTGTTTTTAGTATGTATGTGAATGCGTGTGCGCAGCGACAGTACCTACCTACCGGGAGGCGACGGTGGGAGGATATCCTTGACCCTGTGAGATGCATCTTCCCCCACTTCCTTTTCAATACATGCTCTCCTTCTTTAGGAAGAAGTACTCATATTAGTTTGTTTTGATGTCAAATATCTCAGTTCTGAGCTGCTCTGATAGAGGAATCCTGTTGAAGTGTTGCCTCTGGGAACTTCGGGAACATAGTTCCTAATTCCAGTTAATAGCTGTTAACTTGGTAACAGCTTAAAATCCATCTGCCGGCTTCAGAGTCTGAACTTCAGGCATTCAATATTAGAATTTAAGAAGATATTGTCTTCATCGTTCCTTGAAGAAAAAACTCCTATTCTGATTTCGTGAATACAAACTAGGATTGAAACAATCATACATGAACGTTGAATTCTAAAAGCCTGGCTCGCGCCTACATGCATTCTTCCGAAGCGAGGTTTAGAGAAACTGTCTGTTAAAAAGTAAACAACAATTTCACCATATTTGCATTTGGCTCATAGTCAGACACCTGTATCTTCCTCACTCGATACCATCAACTGGTCAATTGGTATAGTTTCGTTTCGTTGTCACTTTTCAATTTGATGTTTTGATCGTTTTTCGTTTTCTGTTCTCGTACATCTTCTTGGCTAGTAATACGTGGCTTTAGAAGAAACCGGTAGCCTTTTCTCTCTCTCTCTCTCCTTCCGAACTGCAAAACGAACTGCGTCGACGGCGATAATGCGTGTGTGTGCGTGTCTGCTGACCGTACACCGCCGAGATATATCCTTTCAATCCGTCTCTCCGTCCATCTTCGTTTTTCTTGTGTCTTCTTCTTTTCTTCACACCATTCCGCTTTTCACTTAAGAATTATTCTTCCGCTTTCTATATGTTTTACATTCTTCATCTTCTTCTCTCTCTCTTTCCTGGTGTCTATCAGTCTCTAATAATGTTTCAGAATGCTTCTCCGATTGCTCGCCGTACTCGCGATTGCGGTTGCTGCTATCTCTGCTGGGCCAACTAGATCCTCCAAACTAGTCTTCCTCAATGAAGAGAACTGGCAGAATATTATGAAGGGAGAGTGGATGATTGAATTGTAAGTATATTTCTAATTTCTTAATAGCCTATTCAAAATAATCTAACTTTCAGCCACGCTCCATGGTGCCCTGCTTGCAAAGATCTTCAGAAGGCATGGAACGCATTCGCCGACTGGTCTGATGATCTTGGAATCAAGGTTGGAGAGGTTGATGTCACTGTCAATCCAGGTCTTTCCGGAAGATTCCTCGTCACTGCTCTTCCAACAATCTATCAGTGAGTTTCTTTCAAAATCTGTCCTGATCTTATCGTTCTCATTTTCAGCGTCAAGGATGGAGTCTTCCGTCAATACTCCGGAAGCCGTGACAAATCTGACTTCATCTCATTTGTTGAGGACAAGAAGTACCGCGTAATTGACCCAGTTCCAGATTACAAGCATCCAAACTCCAAGCAGTGAGTCGTTTTCATTTCGTCTATGAAAACCAGGATTTGTTTTCAGAATGGGAGTCGTCGCTGTCTTCTTCAAGCTCTCGATGGCCGTTCGTGACCTTCATAACCATCTTGTTGAGGATAAGGGAATCCCATCGTGGGCCAGTTATGGACTTTTCGCCGGAGTTACTCTTGCTCTTGGATGTGTCCTCGGATTCGTGAGTGGTCTAGTATCTTGCATAGCGCTATAACTCTGAAATTTCCAGTTCATTGTTATCATCATCGACCAAGTTTTCCCAACTGGACCAAGAAAGACTCAAGCTGCGAAGAAAACCGAGAAGAAGGATTCCAAGAAAGACTCTGGAACTGAATCTCCAACCAAAAAGAATGGAAATAACAACAACGCTAAGGAAGCCAAGAAGACCAAGTAAAATAGAGACCCATTTTCATTTTAAATTGTTTTATGATGTGCCTGTTGTTATTACAATTTTATAATTTGAAAAATTTTAATAGTTTTTCTTTTTCATATTTATTCTAACCAGCAGTCTCTGCCCCTTCACTTCATTTCCAGAATTCCTCTACTTGTTGAAACGAAATATTGCCTGTCGTCCCCAAATTTATATAAGTCACTTCTTCCTATGGGTTCCCGTTTTTTCTTCTCTTCTTTTGTTTTCATTACCATTGCTTTTGCCTCTCGTCGCATTTCATTTCGGACTCTGCAACCCAAAATACGTAATTAAAGCGACATCGTCGTGCCCAGCAGGCCGGGAGCCAGTCGGTGCCTGTGGGGCGTGTGTTCGCTCCGGCGACGTAACGTCTTCTCGCTCGCTTCTGCTTCTCGCTTCTCACACAACGCATTGATCCGTTTCCCGTTTTGTCTATTGCTTCATTCCTTCCTCTTTTTGTCATCATTTTCAGAAAGAGTTTTAATAAAACACTGTTCCGACTATTAGAGATTTCATGAATATGAAGCAATGATGGTGTTTCGACGAAAAATCTCTCGATATTACTATTCAATCGTGCTACTTGCATGTGAACCGAAAAATTGCAGAGAGCCACCAGTAAACAACTATTGTTTGTCGCCTGAATCGGTTATTCTAGAATTGTTTTGAACGAAAGCAACGCATCCGTCACTTTATAGCCATTTTTCATATTTGTTTTCCGAAGAATAAAATGACGACTTTACATTATTGTTGAATTAAAAAAAGTGGGACCTGAATTTGAAAGGCGTAGATTTTTTTGATCTACGAAAAAATGCGGCAAAAACGTAATACTTCAGACTTTTGCCTCGTTCGAGCTACTTTCGCAATTAAGTTCGGTTTTTCGATGAAATACAGATTCTAGAGATACTAGCGATCATTTTCATACCAAGAAATCTAAATTTTGTCCAGAAAACCCCACCGAATTCAAAGAAATAAGTTTCGTTTACTACAGTAGTGATTTTGGAGAGAGGTCTCGTAAATTGACCCGAACGCCGCCCGCGAAATTTTCCAGGTCCCACTGTTCTTAAAGGTGGTGTACGGTGAAATTTTTTATTGCATCAAAATGTGCAGAAATGCATGTATATTGACATAAAAATAAAGAAAAAATCATGAGCTATTCTTCCATATGGATGGATGCTAACTTATCCGCTGAATAAAGGATTGGGCTATGTTCAACGTACGAGCCAAGTGATGCTCAACCTCTCCGCTTGGATCAGTTTGTCCAGCAGTGGCAGCAGCAGCGTGGATTGCAGTCAGCTCGGCATCTAAAGAATGAAAAATTACGGAAATGAAGCTGTTAATTACGGAAACTCACTGTTTGCAAGAAGATCCGAACGCTCATCCACGCCAACCTTCTTGGCCTCTGCGAGCCATTTAGCGAAAGCTCCATCACCTGTAAGTGGATGTTAAGGTTAATTCAAGAGAATCAGCAAAGGTACACATTTAAATAAAAATTGTCATCCTAATCATGCGAAAAGTTCAGAACCGGGCAGAGGGGCGCGATTGCATTGATTTCTGGCGCCAGCGTCAAAGTTTTAAATATAAGGTTAAAAAAATAAGATCAGAAAACCGACAAAAAAGACGTACCCAGGTTGATGCGGTCTTCTAGATTGGCAAGCGAGTGGAAGAGAGCAAATGTTCCGCATGCGTTGGAGATTTTCTGAAAAAAAAGCTGTCTTTCTTTTCATCCCCTGGCCAACGTGCCTGGTTCATGAAAAACACGGAATCATCCGCAGCCTTGGCTTGCTCGAAGACGGTTTCATGATTTCGTCGACCTAAAATCCCTTGGTAATCTACCCGAATCTCATTATAAAACATCACACCTTCTTATACTCCGGGAAGCAAAGAATGACGGCATGCTGCGGTTGTCCGATAGAATCGTCTTCGAAGAACAGTACATCGACCGTCTTGACGCCACTCACTCCCATTTTTTCGATCATCTAAAAACGGAAGACAAATTAAATTGGATTGTAATGCAGAGGTGACCAAGCCACCGAGACGACGAACCGGATTGATGACAGTTGGATTCGATTCGAGTGGAGTCCACACGACGGCCATTTTGAAACAGAGGAATTGGTTCTGAATGTAAAAAGCATGAATTAGAAATATTTATTTTGAAAAAGATTGAGAAAGCAGCATTAGTTACAGTATGCTTGAAGGCTCAATGCCAAAACTTTTCGCGGGTCTCACACCGAAAAATACGGTATT